CTACGACCAAGTGAGTGAAACACCAGGGATGAGGCACCAGGAGGGACTTGTGGAGGATGTAAGGTGAGGTTGGTGACCCGGATGCAAAGGAAGGAAGACAAGGACCACAGTGTGAGGGCCACTGTGGCTCTTAGGGTCACTGAGGCAGGGGTGAGAAAGAGATGCATCTGCTCTCACACCAGCGAAGACTTCAGAGGCTGATGGAAAGACTGGACTTTGGGCAATAGTAACTGTTCCTGGGCTTGAATAAGCTCAGCTTAACGCCTTTCTGTTTTGTAACGGTACACTCAGGCCACTCCCCATGAACGATGTGAGAGGTCACAGACATTCATGAAATAACCAAACACTATCAAGTACGGTGTTAGATCTGGGGCGGGGGTGATGGTGGTTGGAGATCCAAGGAAAGAAAGGTGGATGAGGAAAGGCCTCCTCCTGGACCCCAAAAACAGTGAGCAAGACAGTGAATGGGTGTTGTACATGCTAGGCAAGTGCTCTACCACCAGGGGACACCCCCAACTCATTGTTTCTAGTTCTTTACTTTTTTTTTTGTTTGTTTGTTTGTTTGGTTTGGTTTGGTTTGGTTTTTCAAGACAAGTTTTATGTGTGCCTGTCCTGGATCTCACTTTGAAGACCAGGCTGGCCTTGAACTCATGGGCTCTGCCTCCCAAGTGCTGGGATTAAAGGTGTGCACCCCCACCACCTAGCCTTGTCTTTCTTTTTTTTTTTTTTTTTTTTTTTTTGACATCATCTACCTACTATGTAGTCCTGGCTTGTCTGGGACTTTCTATGTAATATTTTTAGTTCTAATAGCAAACCAGGGCTGCACTCATGTGGAACCCCAATTTTTTTCTGTATACCACATTTAATCATAAAAATAGACCACAAAACAGGTGCAGCTTCTGGCTCTACCACTCTAGCTAAAAATACTTTCAGAGAGGAGAAATAGAGACTATATAATGAAGGGGGGGTGCTTGTTATAAATCAGACACAAAGGTCCTTGCTCTACCACCTCCAGGAATCAGCCCTAGGGATTGGGGATGGCCCGAACTTGTGGCTGTGCTTTGGGGTGGGTCCACACTCTTTTTGTTAACTGTCTCCATCTCTTAGGCAAAGAACCTCTTCCAGGGTAGGCTGTCTCTGAGCACACTCCCTTGTACCCCACGGCACTTAGCAGCAGGGGAAGTACGCAGAGAGGTGACTGACAGGCTAGCGGTATGGTGTGGGCTTTCAGTCCCACTGTCTTAGAGTGTCTACTGCCGTGAAGAGACACCATGAACACAGCAACTCCTGTAAAGGGAAACATCTCAGCGGGCTGGCTTACAGTTCAGAGGTTTAGTCCATTATCTTCACGGTGGAACGTGGCAGCGTACAAGTAGACGTGGTGCTGGAGAAGGAGCGGAGTTCTACATCTTGATCTGCAGGTAGCAGAAGGAGTCTGTGGGCCACACTGGGTGTAGCTTGAGCATAGGAGACCTCAAAGCCCACCCCCAGAGTGACTCACTTCCTCTACAAGGCCACACCCACTCCAACAAGGCCACACCTCCTAGTAATGCCACTCCCTACAGGCCAAGAGTTCAAACACATGAGTCTATGGAGGCCATACCTATTCAAACTACCCCACCCACCTACTACTAAGGATGACCAGGCAAGAGGATTTTATGAGCCTAAGCAGTCAAGGCCAGCGTGGGTAGAGTGAAACCATCTTAAAACAAACAAAACAGCCCAAAAAAGATTAAGAATATCTTCCTGATGGGAGAGAAAAACAGCCCAGAAGCCCAGCCTTGGTACTTCTAATAGGAACAAATGATGAAAGATTTGTTAAAACTCAGGGGGAAAGTCTCCAAGTGTTCTCAGGCATACGGCATTCCCTTGAGCTTTTAGTCCAAAGGGATATTGTACTGTGATAATGGATTTTAATAAATATGTGTGTGTGTATGTTTTCATTGTGGCAAAATATACAAAACTATCTATTTCAACCCTTTTTAGTCACATTGAGTCCATTTACGGTGTCGGACAATCGCCACTACAATCCAGTCCCACATGCCTGTCATCCTAAGCAGAAATTGTGTACTCACAAAATAATAGTAACTCCCCCTTTGCCATCCCTCCTGCCCCTGGTGATCTTTATTCTTCTGTCTCTATGGATTTGTTCTAGGTTTCTCGTGTAAGCCCGGATCTGTCCTTTTGTAGGTAATGGCTGTTTAAGACAGGCTGGCAAGAAGAAAAGCAACTGAGCAGCTGAATGCAGCTTCCCTTGCTGGCCTTGTCCCTCGCCACACGTCTTGGTGTCTCTGTGGTACAGGGTCAGCCTCCCTACCCTGACTTCTGCATGGGGATGGCACCGTTAGGCTCCATCGGCTTATTATGGAGTTTGTTTCCTCCCATTCCCTTCCTGTTTTGTAGAGACTGGTTTCCTCTTTCCTGACCCTGTCAGCTGAGTTCAAAGGCAGGGTCAAAGCTCTGCTCACAGCACAATGGCTTCTTGTGAAGCCTGGCTAGGTTTTTCAGGGCAGCCACAGCCAGGCTCTTACTCTCTTGTGACAATGAGAATGTTCTGGCCACAGGAAAACTTTATGTGTGTGCTCATCTAATGCTCCCTGGCTAAAGGGCTAAACTGTCCCTGACATTCATGTCTTTCATGCTAGTCTCGGACCTCCTTGCCTTTGGCCTTCTTCAGGGATCAGGGGCGGGGGGACGGACGGACATGTGAGACTTATGCTTCACCTGGGTGATGCTCATTTATAGTAACTGGTGAGTGAGAATTGGCCAGTCACCTAGGCAGCCTCAGCCATCCCAGTCCTTATATTTAATGCTGGGGAAGTTCTTTCACAGAAGGAACATGGAAGACTTCTAGAGAGTGTTTTCAGATTGAATGGTGTGTCCTTAAAACTTCCTCTTAGTTCTCAAGATTCTCTTTCAAAATGTAGACCTCTGTTGTGACTAGATGGGAAATAATGTATATTCTTTGTGTGTGCACATGTGTGAGTGTGTGTGTGTGTGTGTGTGTGTGTGTGTGTATGTGTGAGTGAGTATTGGTACATGTAGAGACCAGAGGACAACGTCTGTAGTCATCCTTCTGCAACTGATATTCACCTTGCTTATAAAGATGGACTCTCAGTAGCCTAGAACTTGCCCAGTAGGCTGGGATGGCTGGCTAGGGAGTCTTAGGTGTCTACCTGTCTCTGACCTGCCAGTTCTGGACAACAAGTGCCACCATGCCCAGGCCCCTCACCCCCAGCATAGGGTTTGGAAACTGAACTCAGGCTTTAATGCTTGCAAGGCAAGCTTTTGACCCAATGAGCTAGATCCAGATTCTATGCACATTCAGATTTGGTAAGGTACTCTCACAGGAGGTCAGCCAAATGGCAAATTTGGTAAAGATGATTTCATAGGTCAAAACTCTTATAATGTTTGTTCAAAAATTCCTAGTCACCCTATGAGAAAACTTTTTTTTTTGTCTTTATAGATCAGGGACTGTGGGGCCATATATATTCCTGCAATCTGCCACTGACCTGCATATCCCTAGCCCAAGAATCCTTTTCCTAGCTAGGACTTCATTTGGTCTGCCATTTGATATCTGTCTTCTTCCAGTGCCAGGGACTGAACTCAGGGCACACATCTCTACTACTGAGCCTCACCACCATCTTCCAGAGCATTTGCTTTTATTCTTTGATTAGTGGTGTACCTGGAAGAATTAACTCCAGGGCGGAAAGGCTTGTTTTGGCTCACAGTTTCAGAGGGGTTTCAGTCAGCAGAGGTCAGGATGGCAGGCACAACTCTGTCTGCCGGCGAGGTGGTAGCAAAGGCTGGTTCATCTAGGAGTGGACCAGGAAGCGGAAAGCTGTGGAATTGGGGTTGGGCTGAAAACTTGAAAGTCCTTGTCTTAGTGACCTACTTCCACCAGCCCTGCTCTACTTCCTAAAAGCTCCAGAATCTCCCCAAAATATCACCAGCCACTGGGGAACAGGCTTTCAAAAAACAAATCTGTGGGAGATGTCTCAGATTCAAACCTTAACACCAATTTGTTCTGCATGACATTCGCTGTTGCTAAGATTCTCCCTCGCGTCCCAGCCTGTGACTTCTTTCCTTTCAGATATCCCTGAAACAAGATTCTCACACGGCCCCCTTTACCTTATTCATCTGCCTGTTTGATGCTCCATAGAAATTGAATTTAGGATCTGCTGCCAGATACACCTGCCTTAAAAGTCTATCTGTGCTATTTAGCTGTGTGGCCTCAGAGGAGTTATTAAAGAACTTTGTCAGCCACAGACCCCTTATCCTTGAAGCAGGATTGATGATTTGTTGCAGTCAGGGATGTTTTTAAGGCTGCTTAAAAACAATTAAAGGCACAGCAGATGAGCAACAAATACTAGCATTAACTTACACAGTTTGCCTATTGACTTTTCTTGAAATAGTCTTGCTATGTAGCCCAGGCTGGCATCAAAGGTACATTCCTCCTGCCTCCCATCTGCTCCACTTTCTGACTTTTTAATGTAAGTTTCCCCCAGTGGGTGTTTAGTTAACACGGAATTTTTCCAGGTCTAACCCAGTGTAATTCTCAAACAAACTGACCACAAGGAAAGGGGGGCGGCAATGACTGGCAGCTAGTATTTAGCTGACTTTGCCTTATTGGCTTCTAATCTCCTCTGAAGAGTCAACAACTAGTTAAGTTTAAACCGCTCCAAACCAGGATGTACCAGGCACTGGGGATGTTTCAGGGATGCTAGACAAAGAATCCAGAATTTCATTGCATTTGCTCCATGACCTGGAAATGATAACGGACAAAAAGCCAAAGAACCATCTGGAGTGATGGAGGTCGGTTTTGCAAAGAAGCCAAGAAGCAAGCCTTGGGATGCTGGGTCAGTCTTCAGGATTAATGGTCCCAATCCTTTCCCCCAGAGAGCACCCAGCGCCACCTAGAGGGGCTGAGGGTGGTTGCACGTGAAGCTGAGCCAAGAGGACTTAAGTTTCTATTGGTGAAAACTTTCTGTATGCGTTGGCAGCTTCTCTCTGCACCATCAGAACCTCGGAGCTGTTGGCCGCACACCGACGAGGTGATCCGGACCTACCGCGGCCACATGGCAAGGTGGCTATTAGGTGGATATGACGGCCAGGAGGCGCGGGTAAGCCACGGCCCCCACGGGAGGCTCGCTGACTTCAGCGCTGACACATCGGAGTGGGGAAGCTGCTGCTTGGGAGTTGGGGGCTGGGAGCTCATTTGTGCCAGTTTGGTTCCGCGCTTATTTCAGACGGGTGTGGCGGGTCGGTGGCGTCCGAGGGCAGAATGAAGCTCGAGGCACGGGTCCAGGGCGCCCACTCGGTGGCACGTCCCAGTGTCCCCGCGTTCACGCGTGCAGCCGTAGGCTTCGCTTCCCCGGGGCTTTTCACATCGTGGGCGTCACAGGCAGCGGGAAGCGAAGATGACCCGCGTCCCAGCAGCGTCCTGGCTCCATCTCGGACTTCTTTGCATGTCCCCAAGGTTCCGCAATGCAGTGACCCCTTGAAGGCGGACAGGAGCCTTGGGGGCCAGCCACGGGAGGCGGGGCACTATGAGGATGAGAGAGGAGTGCAGGAGGCCGACGATGTAGATAACCCGTGGTCCTGGAGGTGGTCAGGACAGTGTCATGGCTACTTGGGGGCTGTGGTAATGTGTTTCTCGGGGGAGAAGGGGACTTTTGCGGTGTGATTTTTGCAAAACGAGTGCTCTTTTGAGAAAGGGAAGGGCCAGGAGAGGAGGTACTGTTGGCCAGGCGTAGTCCCTGGAGGCCATAGAGAGCCTGAACCCAGGTGGCCCCCTGGGTCTTCTCAGTTCTCTATAGGCCCTTACATGAACTGTGAGAACCCCATCCTCACACTCAACAGCCCTGGACTTCTCGAGGTGGCAGAAAAACATTTTTTTTTGCCACATAAGCAAGCACACTCCACCTGAAGTCCATCCACCTGCTGACCTGGAACTAGGGCGATTCTGACCCGGCCCACCTGGTGACACCAGTGCAGAATTGCAGAGGATTCCCTGTGGGACTGAGAATGCATGAGAAAGGGTTATTACCCTAAACGAGAGCTTAGGATCAAAAGAAACACGTACTCTGGAGCTGCCCCTACCGAGAGTCCCAGTGGCAAGGGCGAGATCCTTCAGCTGAAGTTGGGGTGTGAGAGAGCAAAGGACTGGGAACCAGTTAGCAAACTTGGGGTTCCTTAGACCATCTCAAGGCCAAATATTTGTCAAGGCACTTCCTTGGTGAGGTGAGAGAGCCTGGGTTTCACTTCCCGGAGAGTTTGAAAGGTAAATGAGCCGCAGGGAGTGAGGTATCCTAGCAAAGCGCAAAGCGTTCAGGGTGGCCTTTGCAGTGAGTGACTACAGCTCCTGCCCACAGCTGCCAGCGAAGTTTTATGCAAACTTGATGTTTTTGTAACTCCCTGTGGCAAGGGTCAAAGCATGCCTGTTTCTGCATCTCCGCAGCACTCAGTTCCTCTTTGGCTGCCTTACCACCTGACATTGCTCCTCACAGCCCTTGGTTATCAGATAATAGGAACTATGTCTTCTCATTCAGTTCCTTAGGGTCTACATAGAGTCGGGAGGGGGGGTGTGTGAGGAAATTTGAGGGTCATGGAACCTGAGTCCTAGAGGTGGGCAGTTTTTATTCCACACTCTTTTTTTTTAAATTAGTTTATGTTTTAGTGTTTTGTCTGCATGTTTATCTGTGAGTCATGTGTGTCCCTGGTGCCTAAGGAGATCACTAGAAGGCCTCAGACCCCACAGCTATGGATGGCTGTGAGCCACCATGTGGGTGGCTGGGACTTGAACCTGGGTCCTCTGCAAGAGCAATAAGTGCTCTTAACTACTGAGCCATTTCTCCAGCCCCCTTGTTTGTTTGTTTTTACATAGGAAAGAGTCTGTGGGAGCCATGGGCAAATATTCAAGTAGACACAACTTTATTTGATAGTGAGAAGTAAGTCACGTGCTGAAAAGAGCGACCGCCTCCTGGTCCATGTCCCGGCTCATCTCAATGCACACACAGAATACAAATGACAGATTTGAATAGTTTCCCTCGTCACTAACAATAGATTCATATTGCTGATGCAGAGAGATTGGTGTAGTATCCTGTGTGACTGTTAACATCTGAGCAGTTCTTCTTAAATAAGCATGCCCGGGCTTCCAGAGGGAATAATCCCAGTGACGCTGGTGCCTGTCGATCCTATTACATCTTTCCATTGTGCCCCCGAAAGATCTCTGGTTGCTTTGTACATTTAGTACTAACCCAAGGAGGGACCTGAAGGAAGAATCGGAGGATGGGGAATAGAAGAAGGGCTCCCTAGCCATCCGTCTTCTGGGGAACTTGGAATTGCTCTTGCAATTGCTCTGCAATTGGTCTCCAAGGGAGACCAGTGATAGCAAAGTTAACTTAGAGAACACAATGTGCCAGACTGAGGCTCACACGCTACAACTCAGTTAGTTCTCACAGTAAACTGGAAATGGAAATGGAGCACAGAGAGATTCCATGCCTTGGTCAAGGTCATGGAGCTCATACGTGTCTTAAAATCACCTTACTGCCTGGGAGGTGTGTGAGTGCGCGTGTGAGTGTGCATGTGAGTGCGTGTATGCTCTCTGCCCTGGGTTTTATTCCATACTAGAGGGGAGCTGTGGCTTGAGAATGGAGGCCCTGGAGCAGGATTCCAGGCTGCAGTTCTCCCAAGAGCCATTGGATGGCTTTGTGGTTATCACTTTCAGTTTTCTGATCCATTAAATAATAATACTAGTATTCTCATATTGAGTAGATGCTCTATGTCTATCAGAACATGAAGTACAAATTGAGAAGGAAAAAATACGTCTTAGGGGGAAAAGGAGGTTTTAGATTTGGGTGTTTTTGTCAATCTGGCAGCTGGGTAATGGTAAATGAATAGAACATGAAACCACACACCCAGCATGATTTACCCTTAGGGTAAAAATCTTCTTCTCTTTAAAAAAAAAAATGATTGCATCTTTGGCTTTATATTTATTAAAAGAGGGAAGTGTACATTAGCCCTCCAAGGTGGTGTAGTGTGATGTGTGTATGAGTGTGTGTGTGTGTGTGTGTGTGTGTGTGTGTGTGTGTGTGGTGTGGGGAACTGGAAGAACACAGAGGGCTGAGGTGTGAGCGGGTGCTTTTCTCTGATTGATGTCAAGTTATGAAAACTGTAGTCAGGCTATTTTTCCTTATGTTCTTTGGCTTTTTTTATTGCAACACATTCTAGTGGATCTGAGAACATCTGAGCTCTGAAAATTGATGTGGTATCCTTCTCTTCTCTTTCTTCATTTGGAAATTAGTTTTTAAAAAATAGCTTTTGGGATGGCTAAGGAGACATGGACTGTTATTTAAAAACATATAAATATGGCTGAGTTGCCAAATGATCTGAATTGTCACGTGACCTGTATAAAACCAGGAGCCTTTGGTTGCTCACCCTCACTTTAAAGTCTTGTAGAGATTTAGTGCCAGAGAAGTAAATGCATACACTATCACATGGCTGAGGTAGCATATGATAAGTACTATTCTTCTGGAGGGAGTTTGGGTCATGAGGTTTAAACTTCTTCCCTTCACCTGTGGGTCTGAGATATTAAGGGCTACAATAGTTTGGCCTGGGTCTCCTGGGTCTACCCATCTGAAAACAGCTTTTTGGGCTGTGTGCGCCTCTCCAAGAGATAACCCTGTTAACATCTTCTAGTGGACAGTGAGGCTAAAAAGGTGGGTTTCTGTTTGTTTGGAGGTCTGGGCTGGTTCCCCACTCTTCTTCACCCTTTCTTCCCCCTCCTTTCCCTCTTCTTCTTTTCTTTGGAATTCGAGTTAATTTTATGTCAACTGTCCACATTTCTGGAGTATCTTCCCCTTAAAGGACTTCCAGGTTTGTTCCCACACCAAAAGTTTCTTAGTCATTTTGACTTTTTAATAGTCTTCATCTTGCTCTCAGCCACTGGCCCCTTTGCTGCTATTTGGAAAGTAAGAGAGAGTTTATTTTTATTGTGGATTGTCTGGGTTGGTAATAATCTGAAATATTTTGACAGATTATACCCTAATCAAAGTGTGTGAGTGTGTGTGTGTGTGTGTGTGTGTGTGTGTGTGTGTGTGTGTGTGTGTAGAAAATTTAGAACAGTTCAAGGCACAAACTGAATGCTGTACTATGAACTCATGAGGGAGAAGATGTCAGAAGAAAACTGCTGTAGAGAAAAAGTGGGTGGGAAAAGGGGACAGCACACACCTAGGTGATTAAAAGGTCCATGGGTAGCATTTGCATAAAGACCCAGATGCTGAGGTGATAGAGGAGTGGAGCATTCCAGATAGGATAGGGGTGTCACAGAGGTCATAGGACATAGATGTAGCAAATGTTGAGATTCTTTTTCAAATTTCTTTACTTGTAAGATTTTCTTACAGAAAATTTCCACTTGAAAGTAGAGTAGTGTAATGAATAATGTTCTCTTCTGCCAATTCCAGCAGTTATCAGTGTGCCTAATAATATCTTTCTTCCACATCCATCTTTTCTGGTAGTATTTTAAAGCAATACAAGAAATCCTGTTACTTCTGAGTCTTTCTGTATGTACTTCTAAATTATAAGCACCTAACCAAATACATTACAGTGCTTAACACTGGGGCCTTGTTGCCTTTTTGTTAACCAGGTCACAGACTCAGCCTCTGGGGTGCTGTTTGAAAGACAGGGTACATGTCTAAGCATGTAGGGTACTCAAGAGATAGGGTCTGTGACAACTGTCCAGAAGCCATCTATGGATGATGTTTTCCTCACCATCCTTTTTTTTTTTTTTAAATTTAATTTCTTTCTTTTCTAGACGGTGCTGCTGTGGTGAGTTCACTTTTACTTCCCCCCCTCTGCACACTACTTTAGGCTCACTTATTCATCCTTCCCTTTAGATGTTCTACTTGTCTTTCCTGCTGTCTTCTACCACATCAGTACCTCTGCAGCCTTGCAGTTGGTGTTCCTCGGACGCCACTTTGATCCACCAGCTCCCTAGTATCCCCAGGTCTTCTTGAAGGGAGAAGGACACTTATAAATATATAAAAATAGCATTGCTGAGACCAATATAAAATTCAGCTGCCACGTGACTCTTGTTTCCCGTATAAGTCAACGAACTTTAGTGGATGTCATTACTGTGGCTGCTTTTAGAACACGTTCCTCACCTCACACGTAAGCCTGTTACTCTCTGGGCAGCCTCTTTCCCCTCTCCTCCATTGTAAGAGCTGCTGATCCACTCTGTGTAGATTCACCTGTCCGGGACATTGTCTATAAACACTTAGAAATGGGAAATGCCTATTGTGTCTGGCTTCCTTTACTTGGCTTACTCACGACAGTTTTAATTTTTATGACTAAGAACTATTTCACAATATGTTTATAAGACCCTTTGTCTATGTATTCATTGGTTGGCAGGCATTTGGGATGTTTCCTCTTTTTGTCTTCGATGAGTAAGTGTTGCTCTTACGTTCAAGTGTGAATCTTGTTGACCACCCTTTTCTATTCTCCATAGGTATGTGCCTGTCATGGAGTTCCTCCATCAAATGGTAGGTTTGTGTTGACTTTGATGATGTGCCAAATATTTTCCAACATGGCTCCTCTTTTATTTTTCTCATGTGTGGCAATCCAGACATCTTTCAAGTACAAATATCAACTCAAATGTTTCTGGGCTAATACATATTTTTCAATGTCTTACTTAGTTTTTAATTTATTTTCATGTGTATTTCTGGTTTCATGTTGGTTGGTTTGTATGTATGTTTGTTTGTTTAGCTGTTTTTTTTTTTTTTTTTGAGACGGGCTCTTGCTACATAGCACATATCTCAGGCTGGCCTAAGACTCAGGATTCCCCTCCTGCCTCTGCCACTTGGAAGGTGGCATTACAGGTAGGTTCTATTGAATATAGAATATACATTGAATATATATTGAATATAGAATAGTACTTGAACAGTAGTATCCTAAATGAAGGATATTTTCAGGGCACAAGAAGATTCATTGAAAAACAAAAATAATGTGTTATTTTTACATATCCTTTATAATTATGTAGAAAATTAGAGAATGTATGAGCATATAAATGAAAGCATGTGGAGAATGAAGTGTGCCCTGTGTGTTTGCTGGGCAAGTGCTATACCACTGAGCTACACGCACAGTCCTTTGAAATTTTATTTTGAGGCAGAATCTTGACACGTCGCCCAGGCTGTCAGTCAGCTTAGAATCATCAGCCTCTTGAGTAGCTGGGATTACAAGCATCCACCAAGCCCAGGGAGTGCTTCAGTTCTTAATCGTCCTTTTTTTGGTTGCTGTTTGAGACAGCATTTCACTGTGTAGCCCTCACTGGCCTTGAGCCTGTTAGTAGCTCAGCTGATCCCGTAATCCTCCTGCAGTAGCCTCCCAAATACTGAAATCCTAGGCACGAGCCACCGCGCCCAGTTTCCTAATCCTGCACTTTAAAATAAATTGATGGGAAAGTCTTTAAGGTCACATTGCCAAGGGAACTGAGAGTTTCCTGTTGACGTCAGCCGGTGTGCCACGTGAATCCTCACGGAAGGACCTTCGGCTCAGGTGTCTTCAGACTTTCATTTTGTCCAACTTCTGCTGATTACCAAAGTAAAACTTGGGGCAAGTCCCCTCACCATCCCGTTTCATTTCTCCAATTGATACATTGGCACCTGAGCTCACGTGAGTTTTCACTTGAGCAAACCGAGAGTGGGAAGTGAGAACCATGTAATGGCCGTAGGAAGTGGGTCACTTGTGACTCTGAGGTAACTCCGTGGTCCTTCAGGTGCACATCCAGTGTCCTCTGATCCTTGCCTCAGGGCTGTCCCCTCATAGTGCCACCACACCTATTACTGTTAAGGGCTGTCTGTCCTTCTTCCCTCGTGCTTCTGACAGCAAGCCTTCAGAACTATTGGCAAATCTCTTTTCAGTAAAGAGAGGACCGGAGGGGAGCCCCTGTGACGTCACCCAGCAGCCACTGCAATAAGACGCTGTGCCCTTCCTGCTGACCTTGCTATAAGAGAAGGTTCACTGTTACAGTAAAGCTTTGACCTTTGAAAACCTCCCTTTACTCTGATCCTAGATGCTGTCTAGAAGCTTGGGGCCATATTGCTGAGCATCTTAATGTTTTCCGTTTGATATGATGGATTCAGAGTCTGTTAGCATACTTGGGGCTGTGAATCTTTGTTTGCAGTCAGTGTCTGAAGGGAAGTAGACCCGGAGAGAGCCTGGAGGGAAATGTTCATGAATTTGGTCACATGGCATGGTTGAAGATTTTCTTATTTTCAACCACATTTGCTTACTACTGCATGTGTTTAGTAACACAGAAGGAAATGTGTCATAATGAATTTTATTTGTGAGGATGTGGAGAAAGAGGAACTTGTATACTGTTGGTGGTAATGGAACTGTGTAGTCGGTGCTATGATGGGAACACAATGGAGTGTCAGCCAATGGTGTAAACAGATCTGCCAAATGGTATAGGAGTCTCACTTCTGGATAAATATCCAAAAGAAGTGAAATTATCACACCAGAGACATATGTAGTCCTATCTTTATCGTGGCTATTCACTATAGCCAACATACATAATCAATTTAAATGTCCATCAATAGATAACTACATTTAAAAATGCAACACACACACACACACACACACACACACACACACACACACACACCAGAATACTAGTCAACCTTAAAGAGAATGAAAATCTTGTCATTTGTGACAACATGCATACAAAATACATGGAGGGTACTGTACTAAGTGAAATAAACCAGCCAACAAGATAAATACCACATAGCTCACTTGTATGTGGAATAGTCAAACACATAAAAGCAGAGAGGAGAATGGTGGTTAGCAGGAGCTCAAAGATGGAGAGGAAGGAATTGGGGAGATGTCCAGTTTTGCTTAGATAGGAAGAATAAGTTGTTCCACAACTTTGTGACTATCATTAATAGCTATATTTGGCATTCTTATTTACTTTATATTGCTGTGATAAATACCATGACCATGGCAACTTATGGAAAGTTAGCATTTAATTTGTCTTGTGGTTTCGGAGGGTGAGAACATGATGGCAAAATAAAGGAACAGCTGGGAGCTCACATACTGATCTACAATCACAGGCAGAGAGTGAACAGTGGAAAGCATAGGAAATCTAACAGCCTCACTGACGGACTTCTCCAACAAGACCCCACCTCCCAATCCTTCCCAAAGAGTTCTGTCCACTGGGAACTGAGTGTTAAAATATATGAGCCCAGAGGGGTCATTCTCATTCAAACCACCATACTATGCACACACAAAATAGGTGAGAACGTGCGCTGGTTGGTTTTTCTTCAATTTGACATGAGAGCCATCTGAGAAGAAATGTCACTTGAGAAGATTCTCTCCATCAGATTAGCCCATAAGCAGATCTGTGAGGACATTTTCTCAATTAAGGATTGATGTGGGAGGGCCTGACTCACTGTGGATGGTGCAACCCGTGCAAAGGTGGTTCTGGGTTGTGTAAGAAAGAAAAGCAAGCCATGGAGAGCAAGCCAGTAAGTCGCATATCTCCATGGCCTCTTGTTTCAGTTTCTGCCTCCAAGTTCCTGCCTTGAGTTCCTGCTCTGACATTTTTTCATGATGTGCTGTAAGTTGTAAGCTGAAACAAACTCTTTCCTTCCTGTGTTATTCAGGGTTCTCTAGAGGAACAGAACCGATGTGTGTGTGTGTGTGTGTGTGTGTGTGTGTGTGTGTGTGT